CAATAATTTAACGAGTCAAACACGTAACACACGTCGGAAAACTTTAAATTAATTAAAAAAAAAAAAAAATATATATATATATATATATATATATAGATAATGTAAAGTTTTTTCTCATGGATACATATGCGCATGTGTGAGCTTTTTTATATATTGAGATAACCTTTCCCCTCATAATCGGTAAAATATATAATACGAGAACTTGTTCATAGATGGCGGTAATTATTGGTAAAGTAGTTTCAGATGGCGCAATTGTCGTAAACAGATAACGAGCGTTCTTCTTACTAAAACAGTTGTCTCTAACCTCTAGCCAACAAAATTTCATAACAAATTAATTCAAGTTATTATTTAATATTATTACTATTTTAATAAGTGAAATAAAATGTTGAACGTCGGAGGAAGATTGACAAGAATAATTGTTCGAAGTTATGTTACGAAATCCAATGAAATTGGAAATCTTGTCAAAGTAAGTAATATATATTATAAGAGGTTATAAATATAAGATTTGCGATTGAATTTAATAGTTGTTATATCATCAATTTATTTTTATATGTTTTAATTTGGTATTAAGATAGTCGATGAGAAGAATCGAACTTAGGCTATGCAAAACTTGGCAAAAGTTTTTCTTTAATCATATGTTGAATTAATTATATGTAGAATGTGCCATTGCAATTAATGATACAGAAGGGTATCTATTATATTTTGTTTTTTAATATTTTACAGAAAAATAAAGTTGTTGTCTTTATGAAAGGCATACCGGAGGAACCGAGATGCGGTTTTAGTAATGCTGTAGTTCAGATATTTAGAATGCATGGCGTTACTTATGATGCTCATGATGTTCTTCAAGATGAAGATCTTAGACAAGGTTTGTATAAATAATAATTTATTTTAACCTTTAATATATTTATAAAAATATATATAGATATATATATATATATATAGATATATGTATATATATCTATCTCCCGTTTACAAGTTTTGGAATAGTTACATTAATACATTATTAACCGATAACAAATTTAGGTATTAAAGAATATTCAAAGTGGCCAACAATACCGCAGGTATTTATCAATGGAGATTTTGTTGGCGGCTGCGATATTTTATTAGAAATGCATAAAAATGGTGAACTAGTAGAAGAATTGAAGAAAGTAGGTATTAAAAGCGCCTTGTTGGAGAAAGAAGATGCTTCTCAAAACGAAGCTACAAAATCTAAAGAGTAGAAAGTGATCTTCTATTTATTGTAAATAAGACCGATGTGTGTAAATTGTTTTTCTCATAAAAAAAACGTTTTTTTGTTATAATAAATATTCTTCTTTTCAATTCTTTTAGCTCGCATCAGTATATAATCCTTGTGCGAAAAGGATGGAAACGAGATGTGAATTTGAATTTAAAAAAATTTATGCCTCTGTCTATTCAATACGTAGAAATCACATATTCTGTAGTTTTTTTCTTAAAATTTTCCCAGCTGGACTTTTAGGAATTTCGTTGATGAACTGTACATGTCCTATTTGTTTGTAATTGGAAACGTGTTTAGCAACAAAACTTTTTACGTCTTCTGGATTAACGGTAACTCCTTTTTTCGGTACTATAAAAGCTTTTGGAATTTCGCCATATTTGTCGTGAGGAACACCAATTACAGCAACGTCAGCGATACCGTCTAAATTGCTAATAATATTCTCCAATTCTGCAGGTGCTACTTGAAAACCTTTTACTTTGATCAATTCTTTGGAGCGTCCTTCAATGTAGATGTATCCTAGGTAAATTTTACATTGATCAATATAATAATTAACACATAAGGATTATAATGATTATATAATTTTTTATATAATTAATACCTAATTCATCATATTTTCCTACATCTCCAGTTTTTATCCAATCACCATCCATAGTATCTTGAGTTGCTTGAGGATTTTTATAGTAACCTTTCATTACTTGAGGTCCCTTAACATAGATTTCTCCAATTTCATTTGGTCCTACGTTGATACTTTCATCATCTTTGTATTTGACAAAACGTAATTGTGTGTTAGACACAGGAAAACCTACTGAATTGGCAGGAGCAGTTTTACTTAGTGTTACTACTGGACTGGTTTCAGTCATACCGTACCTATAAATACATAAAAAAAACTTTGATTTACAATCTTTTTTTCTTTGAATTGTTATCACATTGATGTATATTCTTACCCTTGCACAAATTGCACTTTGTCGCTGACACGTTCATGAAATTTACTAATAGTATCTATCCCCAGTGGTGCAGCTCCTGATATAATCATCCTTACATGTTCAACATGCCTTGATGTAATTTGTTCATTATTAACCATCATTTGTATAATCGGTGGTACCAAGTATAACAATGTCGGCTTATAATTTTCAAGGATTTTTATATAATCTTTTATTGAAAATTGCGGTAGACACACTAATTTGGCGCCTATTCTATAAATAGGAATTAATCTATTATATTTAGTTATAATAAACAAATATATATGCATATATGTATATGCATACGTATATGGTGTCTATCTAACTCAAGTATTTTAGATATCTAATTTATTTGTTAATGTAAGGTAAAATTTTGTTAGAAGAGGCAAATATTTCGATAGTTGAACGTTCCGATGCCAATGCGTTAGAGTAGTATTAATTTAATCGATAAATTATTTGGGATGTTTAAAATTCAATAAAAAAGTAAATGTACCTTAAATAATTACAAATAAGAGGAACTAAGGCATATATATGAAAGAAAGGTAGTACCATTGGTACAGTATCCTGTGTCGTTTCAGTAGTACTTATACCAATTGAAACTTCTGGAGAACTTATTTGAAGTAAATTTGCAACAATGTTCCTGAAAGAATCATGATATAGACAATGAATGAAATATACAAATGTTCATAAAAGTACAATACTTATTGATTTACCTGTGCGTTAATTGTACACCTTTAGGTAACCCAGTGGTACCACTAGAATATAGTAAAAAAATGTCATCCTCGGGATTGACACCAGTTTTTTGATTTTTCGAAAATTCTTCGATACCTTCTTTCATTAAATCATTCAAATTTATCGTACCCGAAGGTATCGATCCACTACCATCGTTAACTACTATAATTGGTAATTTGATTTTTGAATTATTTTCAATACTTTTTTTTATAGTAGGATATATCAAAGGATTGGTGAAGATCGCCGAAGTTTCGGAATCTCGAATTTGTTTCATTATTTCAGTGCCGGTCCACATAGGATTCATTGTTGTTATCTAAAAGAATAAAAGAGATAAACAAAAAAAAAAAAAAAAAAAAAAAAAAAAAAAAAAAAAGCAACATTACTTACGGATGCCAATAATTTATATTCTTGTATTAATATATGCTAAATTCATTTTTTTTTTATGGAAAATAATAATCCAATCGATTTTATTGTTCAATTATAAAAATAATGCATCTAATTTGAATATTACATTTGAAAGTGTATTTGATAGTTATTTTAAAAAACTTATTGATATATATATATGTACATAAATCTTTTGAACAATTACGAACAAAAAAGAATAGTAAGAAAAAATATATAATTATGATATTTACGTACACGAAGGCCAGCTTCAATAGCAGCTAGTATAATGATAACATATTCGGGAATATTAGGCAAAATAATAGCTGCGGTATCGTACTGCAAAAGTTTTGCTTTACGTAACGACATTGCCAATCGATCTACATGTTTTCTCAGTTGCTGATAATTATACGATTTGCCAGTGATTGCACATTCCTGGACAATAAATAATTATAAATAATTTTATCAAGTTAATATCTCGTGTAGCTTTGAATTAAATATTGTCATTAAATTATAATCATATCGAAAGAATTTTTATACTTTAGATTGAAATATTTATTTCGTTATAATTAAAGATTTATGAGATTTATTTATTTTTTTATATATACCACATACATAATAAAATTAATTAATATAATAAGAATAATAATAATAAATGAAACGTTTAGTCTTTTTTATATATTATAAATGACATTTTTTCATTTCCTGGAACTACATTTCCCTTTTTTTCATTTAAAATCTGGAACACCATGTATATTTTGTACATTGCTGAGAAGAATATAATATGAAAGTATTCTTTAAAATTTACGTTATTCATCAACCGTTGAATACAACAATAAGTAATAAATATTATCAAGCCAAATGATTCATTACATTTATGCAATTCAAATGCATCCAAATGAAAAACTAAAGAGTATGCTTTTATCGAGTTAGTGTATCTTTTAATTAATCGTGAGATCATATTAGGTTGCCCTATAAGTTGTCCCTATGTATGATTTCGAGTCGGGTATGTTTGCAATCATACAGGCTTATCTTTTGTTCGTTTATGGCATCGATTTCAGTCGTCTCACAGCCCTTTCGAAGTATTTTTGCAACTGCATTTGCATAGAAATATCTTGAACATTCGAACGAATCATTATTTGATTACTAGAAAATCCAATGAAAATTTGACCGTGAAAATTCGTGACGTGAATCATTGCTAACGCATAAAAATAGAACACATTCTATAGTAATTTTATATTACGTCATTTTGCTTTTAATAATCTCGGCTTCTATGCAATCTTCATTAATTTTTTTTACATTAGATAATTATTCAACACATTCGACATAAAAAATTAATCTCGAGTCCAAAGTTTTAAATAAAAACAAACTTCATTTGCATCTGGAAATAAATTTTCATCGTGTTTTGCAAAATATATTTTTCAATCATTTCAAATACGAGTAACATAATTTTTCCTCGTATTTTTTATCACTTATGTTAATTAAAAAATGTATATTCTTTTCTCTAATTGACTTTTGTATCTAGTTACGTAATCTTTGATGCTAAGCAACATCATCTATGCTGAATTAGAAAGTTCAAGAAGTTTTCACCGATCGCACACAGATGGTCTTAGCTGTATTATACATTAGAGAACATTAATAGTTCCATTAGAATGTTCAACATGTTTTAATAAAATTTCAATAAACAAATGTCATTCTTCTCTATAGAAAAAATTGTAAATTTTTAATCGAAGTAACACGAGTTATATATTTTTCCAATGAGACTACAATTTTTCTATTTTCATTTGAAAACAAAATATGGGAAACATATGAATGTATCGTGAATCGGTTTCTCCATCAAAGAGAACACGTAGAAAGTGTTTTGAAACATTTAACATTTTGCTGACTCATACTTTCGAGTCAAAATCATTTACATATATTAGACGGTATATATAAATATTTGAAATACTTCACATTCTATTTGCTTATCAAGGACGTTTGTTCTCTTTCATGTTCAAAAATTGACCATTCAATTTAAATTCTACGTGTTCTTTCTGACGAAGATTTTTAATATCCGTACACTTCGAATAATAAACGAAAAACGAAATTGTGATCGTAGTAATGAAGAAACACATGGAACGTTTAAACAATTTATTGCTGTTAATTTTCGATTAATTTCAATTATTTCATTGACATCGAGAAATTGAACACGCGAAGATTGAAGAATTCCTTATAGCAATGTCTGAACTACAAACAATTCTCTTTCAATTCTCTTTCAATTCTCGATAATTTGCGTTTTAAAATAGTTCCAATATTGTTTTGAATACTCTTAATCATTAACAGATATATTTTTATTTTGTCGAATATTTTAACACGAATTAATTTACATTATTTCATTAATATTATTTGTTTATTCGCACTTATTTTATTATATTCAATTAATAATCTCAAAGATTTTTTTTATATACAACAGTTGATTTATTCATTCCAGCGTAATATTACATTCTCTGTTGTATCTTGTTTATAATAAGAAAATGTATAATATTAACAAAATGTAATCGTCATCAGTGAGGAGAAGAAAAAACAAAAGGTAAATACAGAAGAGTGGTGTTAATCATCTAAATATATAAATAGAATAAATCGTTTTGATGTATTTAACAATGATTATGTCTCTACATTGTTTCAAATGTTTGAGTTTAATATCTTATTTTAATTAAATATGTTTTCAAATGTATATATACCTATACTCATATAGATTTCATTTGTATAACGTATATAACTATTGAAAGAAAAATAAATTATAATGTGTATCAAGAATAATTGTGCGTAGATAAAAATAATGAACGACGACGATATTATTTTATCAGGGAGTTGAGGAAATTTGATAATATACAAATGTCGGTATAAATAAAGATACGTCAGAAGAAATAATTGATATTTGCACTGCATATGAAGAAACTAGAAATGAATTAACTATAAGTATTGCATTGGAATAGATAACAAAAATCTAAACTAAGTAAATGTCGTACAAATGTTTATGTTGGAGGAAAATTCGTAATTTTGTTTTTTTCGTCAATGAACTTACCTCAATCACTTATAAACCCCATTTATTGTTAGATTAAAAAATGTCTTAATATTTAATCGAGATTTATGAGACAATTAGTCTCATAGATTAATAGAATAATCTATCTCTAGATAATAGAATAATCTATGCATTATTATAATACATTATGCATATGTATGATCAACGTGTTTAACGTGGTCATTTTGTAAAATGAACCGATAATGAGCGTATAAAATGCTGAATTTTGTAAACAACGTGTACAATTGTTTTGATATTTCACGATTAACTAGAATAATTTATATATTTTCCACGATTCTTTGAATACTACTTTGATATTCATCTTATCTTTATCTTTTATTCCTCGTATTCTATGTATAATCTATATTTTGTTTGTTATCTTTATCTGTTATCTCCTCTTGATTCTCTGCGAGTATCGTTCTTAAATATATTTCTTTCACGGTACTTTGTTTGTGGTGAATACTTTTTAATTTAATAAATAATAATAAAATATATTAATATTCCCCTGTGTGCACTATTGTCATCTATTAGTATACAAGAAGGACACACATGTTTGAATGTGTAAGATTTTAATAGATTGATATCAACACATTTTCAATAAAAAAAAAGTTCATCTCGTATAGAATAAAATTCGTTATGCACAAAACGTCGACACGTTAAATACATTGACTCTAACATATATATTAATCATTTCTAACCTTGGATTATTTATAAATTCGTATGTTTTATGCATCTTTCAATGCGTAGATATTACGAATCAGCTGATACAAATTACAATTTTTAAATGTAAATGCAAAAATAATGACGTCACGTGTACACAATGGGTTTTAACGAAAACTTCGTGACGAGGGGGAGGGGAATGAGTGTAGATGATTATTTTCAGTTTATATTTATAATAAATGAAATAAATACTCACTATTGCAGTTTTATTCGACCACTTATCCATATTCTGCCAAACTATTTCGTGTAACAATACATTTTCGTATCCGTGTATATTAGAGCACGGACTGTTTACAATATTATTATGCGTATTTTGTTCATTCAAATGTATTTGTTTTTTCGAAGAATAATTTGAAATTAATCTTGCCAGACGAACATTACCATGATCACCATTGTAATATAATTTATCGATGGATCGAAATAAATTCGCGCGCATTTGTCTTGATATTAACGAACGATACATGAACATGATTTTTCCTTATTAGAAATTCCTTTTTTTGTTAATAATAAAATCACATATATATATATACACTATATATATATATATAGCAATTAAAATCTAACAATAATAATAATAATAATTATTATTATTTGAAAA